CCATGGATCAAGGCGACTGAAAAAAGTTGACGACGTCATCCGTGACAATTGATCCAAAACAAGACGTTCATATAACATGAAGAACCAGTCGGAAAGATCCCCAACTCCTTCCCCACTGGAACCTCGATCCATTCGGGGGCTAATGATGAAGCTATGTACCTAGGATAGGGGCGTGGACCTGTCCTAAGTACCCTACCCAAGGACATCCCTAGAAGAAGTCACCTTTCAATCGACTTGGAGGTATCTCACTCGACAAATTCAAGACACCCGACCACGAAGCAATCACTCGACCCAAATTCCAACCACTCGACTGCCAGGAGATCTAAGTTCACCCTGCACGCAAATGATCGATCATTAAGTAGCTTTTATGGTCATCATAGCACTTTATTAGGGGCGTTACCAGTAACCCCCAATCTTAATGTACTTTAAACCTTGCATTACTGAGGGCTGGAGGGGCCTGGCGAACTCTATATAAGCCACCCCCCTCCTCAGTATCAAGGGTTGGCACCCTTATTATTCATACACACATAATTCAGTCGACCGCCTCCGGGCACCGAGACGTAGGGTTGTTACTTCCTTCGAGAAGGGCCTGAACTCGTAATCCTCGTGTGCTTACAACTCCTCCATAGCTAAGATCTAGCCTCTTCATACATACCCCCCTACATCACTGTCAGAGTTAGAACCACGACACCACCACCATTTCATAATTAAACATTTGTTCATAATAGCAATGAAAAGAACCGGCGGTACCTCCCTCCTCCCTTCCCCTCGTTGCCGGCAAAGCCGCGTGGTGTTGGTGGCAGCGGGGCGATGCTCGTTCCATCGATGTAAGCTGCTCGATCTACAACGGCGCTCAATCCATGCATGAAGGCTACACGGGCTGGATGCTGATTGGGTTGTGTGCTGATGCTTCAGCGGCCACGGCTGGGGCTGGTTGTTGTGTGTGCTGGCCCTGCTTGTTCAGCGGCGGTGACCGGCTTGGTGTCCATCAAATGGAGACCCCGGTAGCCAGATCTTGCTAAGGAGGCGGATCTGTTTCACCATGATACAGCTGACGGCGCTGCAACAACAGCGTGGAGCGGTGGAACGGGGGTGGTGCGACCACGGCTTGCGGCGACCGTGGAGATGGCTATGCCTTGACGCCATCGTTGCTGTAGTGGTGGTGGAGCACGTGCAAGACGAAGTTGCGTATGACATTATGCTCTTCAAGTTGTACGACAGTTCAGGAGCACATGCATGAGTTTGGTCATCAAGTGCTTATGTACATGTCACGGATAGGCACTCGACCGACTATCCCTGGTCATGTATGCCATGGAACGGTTCACCCAGCCAGTCTGCCTTCGATAGTAAGATGCAATCTAGGGACAACGGCTTGACGCGAAGGATATGGTTATGCAGCTACGGCGGTGGTGTGATCTAGCGCTTCGTGAGTAGCTGTTGGGATTGTGGAAAAGTGGTGGCGACAACACATATTGACTTCGATGTGCAGGGCCGGTCCTGAGTTTTTGGGGGCCCGGGGCGAACCTAAAACTCGGGGCCCTTAATATACACATCATAGTAACATCAATGAATATACTTATATATAGCGTTACAAATAACATTTAACATTTAAATGCATCCAAAATCAGTATGATTATCCAGTAATTTATACTCTGAAATTACCTTAAAAAAATCTTCTAACACTCCTTGATGCAAAGTCACTTATGATGGGGTCGATGTCAATCTCATCCATTAATTTCTTCTCCATGCATAATGTAGCCAAACCATTTAATCTCTCTTGAGTTATTGTTGATCTCAAATAATTCTTCAATTATTTCAACTTCGAAAAGCTTTTTTTGGCCGATGTGGCCGTCACAGGGACAGTAAATAAGATGCAATAAGCAGATATATTGGTATAACTTCGAAAAGCTTCTTTCGGCCGATGAGTACTTCTCTCATATGCCCGAAAATTTCATCAACAGTAGCAAATTGTGCCTATGCATCTGATGAATTACCGAGCAACTTACTTTGTTCTCGCTGATGTTGGTCTCGATATTTTCTTTTTCCGAATTCCCATTAGTCTGTTGCTCTTCCCGAATGGCAACGATCACCTACTAGTCATCTGGGTTTATCAAAGCAGTGGAAGCACCAATATCACTCTTCTTGAAAAAATTGTGAATATGTGTGCGCTCTGATTGTATCAATGTATCCACTTCCTTCTTCCTTTTTTCTTTTATGGCTACCAGATGAATTTGTCCAGTTGCTAGACGACATGATTAACACACACAATGCTGAAAACAAAACAGTTTGTTGCATCAATGATCAATCGTTGAACGGTGCCGGCTATGCAACCATAGAATTTATTGTATCAACATTATATGAATATATACCTCGGTTCCTGAATCCTGACGATCGAACTTCAGTGCGTTTGCCTATAAAGCACGGCAGCAGTGTAGCGCTTGGAGTCTGCAGAGGATTGAGAGAAGATCAACTGAGCAAAGGCCAAAGGGGCGTGATGATGGATCCCCAGAATTGAAATCTGTCGCGTACATAACCGGATTATTAAGGAAATTACCAGGGGACGACTGAGAGGCTGGAATACATGTACGGCATCGAGCGTCGGCGGCCTAGGGCTGCGTCTGCGTGATGGAACAGAATAGGAAGGGAACCGTCAGAATCGGATCAATCGCTGATCCTTTTTTCACGCGATCCCTCTCCTTTTTTATGTGAACGAACCGCTGGCTGCCTCGCTCGCTAGCTTTTCCGAGGAAACAAATCGATCGATCGACCTGCTGCTCCCTACGCGCGTCTGCAGCATGGGCCATAGGGGGCCCCTGAATTTTGGGGGCCCGGGGCGGCCGCCCCCCCTGCCCCTCCCCAGGGCCGGCCCTGTCGATGTGGTGGTGCTTGTTGAGTATCCAGTCTCGAGCTTCGGGTTGAAAAACCCTAGGTCTACCCAAATGGGTTATACCTGACAATGGCAACATTTTTACATCATTACCTTGTTGAAGGCATTGATCAGATATGCTCAAACTTGTTCTTCAGGGTGAAAACCTAGAATCTGTCCTCTAGCGGTTGGATCCAGTGAGGTGGCGCTTGAGCATCATTACCTTTCTGAAGGCATTGCTGTTGAAGAACCTTGTTGTCCTTGTGGTGTCAAGAGATGATTGGTGCGGATACGGTCGTTGTTGTAGTTTGTCGATTACTGTTTTGACTGCTTTAGTCTTTTTTTTCTTCACTTAGGCATAGCCTTGGTCTTATATGACTTTGCTCTTTGCCGTTGTGTTTACTTGTGTGTGTTGGTGTTGGCTGTGTGCATCCTCGATATGCAGAGGCCGGGTGTGTACTCATTGTGTCTATATCCACTTAATGCTTCATTTTGAGTTAATAAAATCCACCTTTTGTCGAAAAGCAATGTTTAAAATACCAAGCCACCCAAGGCTTTTTGGTCTACACATTAGTTTCCATTTAACCAGACATTATTTACTTTTGTTGTCAGCCGAATTCCAGTAGAGCCCGCTTCTGTGCTTATCAAAACCATCTTGGGAGCTGGCAGGGAGGTGATAAAACCCCATTACAAACATACGAAAAGCGAAGATAAGCAGGCGTTGGTGAGGCACACCTTAGCCGCAGAACAGTAATACCGACCCCTCCACGGGAAGACTCTATTAGCAACTTTTTTTCTGAAAGAAATTAGCAACTTTAAGAAACGAGAAGGAAAAATCCTTAGAAAAGAGGGTGAAAGGGGAAATAGGAACACCAAGGTACTTAAAGGGGAAAGAAACCAGTTGGCAATTAAGCATAATTGTCACACCCAACGCATCGGCAAAGGAGTCGCCAAGAACAAACAGAACAAAAAAAGGTAGAATATCTCTACAATATTCACGATTCTTAATTTTGAGCATACAAGATTGATGACCTTTAAAGCGGTTCTGAGAATTGTCTGTTCAAAAAAATTTGGCAAAACAAAAACTATTCATAAAAAAGAACTCTGAACCAAACATATAAACTCTACTTATGCAAATCTAAAGCTAACACAGCATTAGCAATTCACATATGAGATAGTATCAGATATATCAGGCCGAAAAGAATTCTACGTTTGCAACAGCAAGTAAATTTACTTCCGTTTAAACTTGTGTCATCCCTTACACCAACAAAATCTCATGAAATAAAAGTCACGACGAGCAGTTGATACTCGTGTTGGGATGTCTTCTACATGTAGCACCATCGATTAATATACACAAAGGTTTGTTCTCAACTAGGTAACAAAGTGTTTCATCCTGGCCCCATCAGCACGTAAAATGGAAATCTTCACTTCCAGACTCAAAAACCATCCTTGCTGATCCAGTTGCATTACATACAGCATACAGCAAGTTAGTTATCGGTACCAAGATTTCCAGCTACTTTTGCTTGGGGTGTGGCAGTGGATCCTTGTCATATGACAGGACGCCGCCCATGTCACTCATGGATGGCATCTTACGAGACAGATCATCGAGGTCTTCTGGCAA